AAAAACACCATAAAACTGACATATTTTGTGATGTCTTTATCAAATTTGCAGTTGTTAATGTTGTTCGCACCTTTAGGTAGCGCTGACTTGTTCGTTTACATTTTGAACTGTACATTTCTACTAACTACACACAGCTGCTAATTTGATTATTAGCAAGGACTTTAGTTATTTATAGAGTCAGCGTAGTTTAGGATCCTGTTGTCAACCTTAAAAATCCCAAAATCCCAGCTCTTTTTACCCTGAGGATAAAAATGCCACCTTCCCAGAAACTGCTGTAAAAATTATTATAAAGTCATATTTTTTCCACTTTAAATGACTCAGTGTTTAAAATTACTTCAGCCTGAAATACACATACCACAGATTAATTACAGTTCTTTTGGGACAGTATGTTTGCATAACTCCTCTGATTTTTATTGAACAAAAACCCCCAAAAGAGAAATAATTTCTATAAAATGCATTTCAAGGATCATTTTTTTAATTAGGTCCTAAAATGGGTCAACGATTGAGAGCAACATTGATTTTCATCCACTTTTATTTTTCTGTAATTTTAGACTTTTTTTTAAGTCATACTTTACGCCCTAAGGACAAAAAATTGGCAGCTCCCCAAAAACTGCTGTAAAAATATTATACAGTCATATTTTTCCACTTGTAATGACTCAGTCTTTTAAAACTACTTCAGCCTGAAACATAAATATCAAATATTATTTGTATTTAATCATATGTTTTGTGATTTTAACCCTTTAAAGGCCAGTATGTTTACATAGCTCCACTATTTTTTATCAAAAAAACAACAACAAACCAAAATTAATCTCCATAAAATACATTTTAAGGAGTAAATGATCCAATTAATTTTATCAGGTCCTAAGATGGGTCAATGATTGGCAGCAGTGATTTTCATGTATTCTTATTTTTTCAACAGTGTCAGAGAAAAAAAATCCTAATGAAAATAATGCCACCTTCCCACAAATGGCTGTAAAATTATTATATAGTAATCTTTTTTTTTCACTTTAAATGACACAGTAAAACTGCTTGAGCCTGCAATTTAAATATCTAATATTAATTATGTTTTTTGGATTTTAACCCTATAAAGAGGAAGGACTCTAGGAGTTGAGGTGGAGCTGTAAATAGGCAGACATGCAAGCCTCCCACGTGGTGCTGCCAGCTCTTCTCTTTCTGCCCGTGAAAAAATCTTATATGTGCTGCAACTATCAAAAATATTTTAGTTTAACTTCGCCCAAAATAATCTCATGTAAGGCTCAAAGATGCCCATTTATTTTTCTGTTCACAGGATCAAGTCTGAATATGCATGCATGCATGTTTTGATTGATTTATTGTTTTTCAGGATGTGTTTACGTGTTTAACGCTGTGTAAAAAAGTAGTGCAAAAGTTCACATACCTTTTATTGCTGGGAGGGGGCCACACTAATGTTTCCAAGCTTTCACATAAGTTCAAATTTACCTCATTTCTTTCCTCTGCAGTGAAACGTCTGTATCAGACTGAATCATACGTTTCTGACACAGACTTTCCGTGATGATGACAGAAAGAATCAATCAGTTTGTTGCTCCAGGTTGCATCTAGAAGTGTTTCAGGTGAATCATCCAGCAGCAGATCCATGACTGTCTCCAAAAGGAAGTGAGCAGTATGCAGTTATGCAAACAGCACAGCAATGGCAAGTTCAGTATGTCGCAGTTTTTAACCTGCAGTGGAACATCTGCCTGACCCATTTAAGGTCTGCTCAAGTGCATATGGACCTGTTTCCATGACTACATACTGGAAGTTGCCTTCTTAAATGAAAAAGCTGTCAAAATATTGCAAGACAAGAAAAGAAAATTTGGTGTACTGATGTATATTACATAATATCACACAAGTACTGTTTTGTTCTGTCATGTCTCACCAATCAAAGAGTCCGCATGACAAAGTGTCATCACTTTAACAAACTGATGAAGCCTGAGAGGGGCTTTTCTTTCTGTTAATTGCTTTGCGTTTACTTGTGGGCGAT